TTAGGACCTCACACCAGCCCATTTTGAAGCCATCTCGATTTAATCCTTGTATCTTGTCTACACTACATTGTAATCTAATTTAAATTCCTAGTATGTTTTTAAGAGAAAAAATGTTTCCATAAAGGAGCCGATGGACTTTTATCATTAAACAATGATCTCACTTACTCCTTTAATCTATGCAGCAGTCTTCTAATTGTTCTACCTATATACAGAGTACACTTTTGCTGCATAAACAACATCTTGTGGAGAACACGCAAGGAACATATTAATCTTGCTTTTTTTTTTTTTACTTTGACAAAAAATTCTTTCCTTTACATACAGTATTTACATTTCACTGAGAAAAAACTTTAAAAGTAGATTCCAGCTGAGCTTAAGGTTTATCTTTAACCTGGAACAGTTGCATAGTATCCTCTCCTGTACTGAAATAGCTTAGTCGGATTACACTGCACACTGTGAGCATCGCACAGCCCACCTCATTTTCTGGTTGGAGGATATCTAGCATTGTCTAGGGGTGGCCTCATAAATTGGCTTTTGGGAATACCAGCTAGCCATTTCGATGATGACAGCTGTCCATAGGCACACTCAACAATAACAGTCAGAACATTAAACTCACATACGAATATAGCTCTGAATGTGTGAATTTTTTGGATATTACCATCATTAACATAGGAGGTAAATGTATTACTGAAGCATATTTCAAGCCGTCAGATAGAAACGGGTACATCCCTATGGACAGCTGTCATCATCCGAAATGGCTAGCTGGTATTCCCAAAAGCCAATTTATGAGGCTAAGATGTAATTGTACTGAAAATGGGACTTATTATTCTCAAACAGAGATTTTTGGATAAAGGCTATTTGGCTGACTCCTTAGATCGAGACATCAATATAGTAGCTAATTTGGATAGGAATGATATACTCTCTGGACCACCTAAACAGAAAAAGGAAATGTTCTGCCCGTTCATTACCCCCTATTCAATACAGCATAAAACTATACGTCATATTGTGAAGAAGCATTGGGAAATACTTAGAGCGGATCCGATTCTTTCAAAAGCTCTCCCTCAAAAACCAGAAGTTGTTTTCAGGAAAGCCTTAACATTACGTAATACCATTGCCCCAAACATTATGGATCCCTCCGTACGTCCAGTCTTTTTCGGGAATTTTAAGGGTTTCTTCCCTTGTAAGAAATGTCAATTATGTAGACATAGTAAAATGTCGAAGAGGAAAATTGAGTCCTTCTCCTCTACTGTAACCAGTAAAGATTATGAGATAACTTCTTTTATTTCTTGTAATACACGACACATGGTGTATCTTCTAGAATGCCCGTGCCAAAAACAGTATATAGGTAGAACAACGAGGAGACTCCGTGACAGGCTTAGAGATCATGTGTACAATATTAAAAAGGGCTTCCGGGAACATTCCTTATCAAAGCACTATAGGGATTTTCATCATAGGGATCCATCTTCTCTTAAATTTACAGGAATTGACGTGGCACAACATCATTGGCGTGGTTCTAATAATACCAGACAGGTTTCACGTCTGGAAACAAGGTGGATTTTTGAAATGAAATCCCTGACCCCGCGTGGCTTGAATGTGGAAGTGGACCTTAATTGTTTCATTGACAATAGTTGACCACATACTGTATATCATTGAAACATTTGTACTACCCATCTGACAGGGACATTACTTTATTTTTTAATTTTAATTTTAATGTTTTAATTTTAATTTTTATTATTGGATGCTTTGGGATGTGTAATGTAAGTTTCTTGTACCTCTGACTGTTATACTAATTTTGTAGCTATAATAGAGTATTTTAAATATACATTACCGCTTTAAATGTGCCAGGTTTCGGAGCAGATTACTGAACTAGAATCTGTACCGAAACCAGTAAGGTATTTCAGTAAATTAGCGACCGCATTTTTTATCTATGCACAGTATTATATTCAGAACGGATATTACTGTCATATCCGTTTAATGGGTTATTATAATTATAATTTTAATTTAAAGTTTGACCTATGACTATTCCCAGATAGAACACTAGGTGGTGCCTCTATATCTTATTTGTCACATAAGAGATGTATGGAGCACATGAGTTTTTGTTGTATTGATTTTTGGCTTTTTGGCCGGTTTTGCTAGGACACTGGAATGGGTCCTCATATTTTGGGTGTCACCCCCAGTAAGATCGGCGACCGTACGGCCGTGTTTGAGGGTTTAAAGTTCTCTGGCAACTCTGGGGTTAGGGCACTGGAGCTTCTAACCAAGAAAATGGCGCCGGCACATGTGCAGTGGGACATACGGCGGCCATTTTTAGCAACCCGGAAATCACCAGCAAAATGGCACCCGCACATGCTCAATATGCCGGTCTACGGCAAAATGGCGCCGGCTGGATTATGCATTTTTCTATCCTATATATAGGGCTAATATGGCGTCCGGCGTGCATGGCATCACCCGTACTGCAGATGTGTGTTTACACGAAACGCGTCTAGGAGGAGCCCCTGCACGCTTTGACGCTACGCCGCCGGATCAGGAGGTCCGGCGGCCCACATTAGATGTATACTGGTCAGTGTTTTTGGGTGCTTTTACTGCTCATAGCAGTTTCATACTATATACAGTCATTCATGTATGTATTTCTGCTCAGATTTTAATGTAATAAATTTATAGTTTTAAATACTACACTATGAGCACCTTTATTCTCCATATCTGGCACTGAGCCTCCATGTCTCAGCCCCAGTGATTTAGGTATTGCTGCAGACTTGATGAAGTAAATACTTGGAGATCAGATCGGTATCCTTTCTTTCACCACTGAGGGTCCATCAGAGGATTTCATTTCCGGGCTGTCTTTATTCAAGATCCTAGGATGCATGTGATACAGATATGCGTTTATTACTGGGTTTCTGGTGAGTAGGCAATCTATTCATATTATCACAACGGGAGACCGGATTGCACCTACAACGCCTGATATTTCACTGTGGACTGAGGAATCCATATATTTATATTACAGTGGACTTATTTTAATATTAGTATTATTTGACTATATTGATATTATTTTACTGTATTTTTTCTTTGCCATTTAATTTGATGTAGCGCTGCACTCCTTGTACTTTTGAGTTTATTAGAAAGGTTTTGTGGTTCCTTTTAGTGCATTGGTCGCTTGTCGGATTGCGCTCACTAACTTATATATTTTTTCATCCCCCATAGTAAATTCATCCCCCCTATAGTAATTCATCCCCCCTATAGTAATTCATCCCCCCATATAGTAATTCATCCCCCCCCATATTAATTCATCCCCCATATTAAGTCCCCAAGTCCCCTCTGTGTCAATTCACTTACCTTTGCTCCGCGCGTTCCTCTCGCCGTGTTCCCGCGCCGTTCCGGTGTAGCATGAAAATCTGTCTCCTATGAGGATCTGTCCCCCTCGACGTATCTGCGCATGCGCCAGTTTCAGGCATTAGCAGCCGATCGGCGATCTCCGGCACATGCGCAGATACGTCGAGGGGGACAGATCCTCATAGGAGACAGATTTTCATGCTACACCCGGTCTTCAGGGCGGACTGTGAGAGGAGCCTAGCGGGAGTCAAGCTCCGCGGGCCGGATTAAAAGGTCCGCCGGGCAGTATACGGCCCGCGGGCCGTAGTTTGCCCATTGCTGGTCTAGCCCCTTCCTCTCCACCCTGACTGTCCCTGGTCTGCCCCTTTTATTAATTGGATTTCTGTCCTTTCAGCTATGGAGGTTGAGCATTACGTGGCCATTACCTAGGGCATTGGTATATAAATTTGAACATTGATCAGTCCTGATGTATGACTGTCTAAAATGCCAGGACAGTACAAATACCCCCCAAATTACTGATTTTTGGAAAGTAGATAGTCCAAGGTGTTTAGTAAGAGGCATAGTGAGTTTTGTGAAGTTGAATTTTTTTTGTCACAATTCTTTGGAAAATGGTAAATAAAATGAGTTTAAGTTTACACTGCTATTTCTCACACACAGCATAGGCATAATTAGAATCACACCTCAAAGCACATTATTCTACTCCTCCTTCTATTCCTCCTCACAGCCTAGATGAATTCAGGGGACCAATATCCAAGCAGCACCTTTGGGCTTTCAAGAAGCATAAATAACACATGCAAATTCCTGACTACCTATCACATTTCTTGTCTCCCTGAAATGCCAGGACAGTAGAAACACCCAAAAAATTATCACATTTTGGAATGCAAGCACCCCAAGTTATTTTCTGAAAGTCATAGTGAGTCTTCTGAGAATGTCATTTCTTGCCAAAAGTTTTTTGAAAATGCAGAAAGAAAATGAAAATTAATAAGATATTTCCAACCCACAGCATAAAAACACTTAGAATTACACCTCAAAACACATTCTGCTACTCCAAGTTTGCAGACAAATGTATGAGTTTTTTCACAGCCTAGCCACATAGAGAGGCCCAAAATATATGGAGCACCTTCAGGCTTTCTAGAGGCATAAATTAGGCATCTAATTTCTTGACTACCTACCACTTTTCGGGAGGTTCTGGAGAACCAGGACAGTAAAAACACCCATATTGGTGAACATTTGCATCGTATTACATATTACAACCTACATACGGTGCACAATGTAAGCTTTAATCGCTTGCCTACAGAGCACTTATACCCTCTTCCTGTCCAGGCAAATTTTAAGCGTTCAGTGCTGTCGCACTTTGAATGACAATTGCGCAGTCATGCAACACTGTACCCATATTAAATTTTTATCATTTTTTTGAGACAGATAGAGCTTTCTTTTGGTGGTATTTAATGACCTCTGGGTTTTTTATTTTTTTCTTAAACAGACCAATAACCACTGAACATTTTGAAAGAAAAGTTTTTTTCTTAGTTTTTGTTATAAAATGTTGTAAATAAGTGATTTTTTTCCTTCACTGATGTGCGCTAATGAGGCTGCAGTGATGGGCACTGATGGACACTGATAGGTGGCACTGTTGGGCACTGATGAGGAGGCACTGGTAGGTGGCACTGAGGGGCATTGACAGGCATCACTGATGGGCACTGAAAGGCAGCACTCATATATGGCACTGATAGGTGGCACTGACAGGCAGCACTGACTGGCACTGTTAGGTGGCACTGACTGACACTGTTAGGTGGCACTGACTGGCACTGTTAGGCGGCACTGACAGGCGGCACTGATGTGCACTGATAGGTGGCACTGACTGGAACTGATAGGCGGCACTGACTGGCACTGATAGGTGGCACTGATTGGCAGCACTGATAGGTGGCACTGACTGGCATTGATAGGTGCCACTGACTGGCATTGATAGGTGACACTGAAAAGCAGCTCAGATGGGCACTGATATGTGGCATTGATGTGCACTGGTAGGCACTGATATGTGACATTGATGTGGCACTGATGGGCACTAGCAGGTGGCACTGATGAGCACTGACAGCTGGCACTGATGGACACTAACAGGTGGCACTGCTGGGGCTACACTGATCATCAGGGCACATGTCCCCTCTGAGGGATGCCAATTACCGCCTCTGCTCTGCTCTCGAGCTGTCAGCGTGACCGCTCATGAAGAGAGGAATGCCGATAACTGGGGTTTCACTATTTACATGCGATCAGCTGTGATTGGACACAGCTGATCACATGACCGAGCCGACATCTTCGGCTCTTTCTGTTGATCGGTGATCCGCTGTGTCCGAGGGACACAGCGCTCCACCGATCACCGTGCTGTGTGCCCCCAGAGCCGCACATGCGCAGTTAGAATGGGAGGATGTCATCAGGGGCGGACTGACAACTCATGGGGCCCCCGGGCAATAGGGGATCATGGGGCCCCTGTGTCCTCGCCCACACTCAAAGCACACCCAAAAAAGCCTATAAAAGGTACCAGGGGCATCTCATGGGGCCCCCTACTGACCGGGCAGTGCCCGAATGGTCAGTTCGTCCCTAGACGTCATATGACGTCCTCCCAGACTGAGAGAACCGCCTTACGCCCGTCAGGCCAGTGGTTACCCTACATAAATTTGAAAATCTCTGAAGAGTGGACTGTTTTAGTACCTGTGAACAGCAAACTCCTATCTCATCATCCTAATTATAATGAGCAGAACCCTTACCCAAAGGGTCTCTCTTTCTGCATGACCTCACAATACACACAATGCACGCACAATGATAGGGGTGCACTGCCTGTCAAACTCAGCCATTCAAGTCAATAGGGCCAAGCCACAACCACAAGCCAAACACCAAAAAAACAACAGGCATTCAGGAGGCGGCAGGAATGTCTTCTGAACACCTGACAGCTGTTGCTTAGCCATGCTCTGAAAAGAGATCCACTGTGGAGCCCAGAGCATTGGCTAGTGTGAACCTAGCCTTACATGTATATCTCTTGTACGGCAATATTTTGTATGATATGGTACTGTATAGTGTGTAACAGTGCAACTACTGCAGCTCTGTAACATTGCCTTTTATACACAGGACAGCATTACTGTGCTTGTTGCTAGGACATTGGTGGCTGGGACTTCCTGCACCATAACAACCAATGATGCTGTGCGACTCAGCACTCTACATCCCAGCACCAATGACACTGTGTGACCCAGCTGCCAGTATCCTAACAACCAATAATGTAAATCATCAATGGTTTCTAGGATGCTAGCGGATGGGCCACAGCTCCATGCACCAATTAACCTGTGCATGCTGCTCTGTTTCAAATGCTGCTTTATGCTTTGACATACCTTCACAGACCAAGTCTGTCTGGACAGTATTGTCACCTGCTGACTTGGCACCATCCACAGGCAGCTTAACTCATAAACAAGATACACAATCTGAATCCAACACATTTTTTGTTTCAGATAAGTGGAGTACAGAGGATGCTTTTCCAGTCTTTTAACCTCCTTAGCGGTAATCCCGAGTGTAGCTTGGGGTAAAATTTCTGTACCAAAAGCGGTAACCCCGAGCTACACTCGGGCTTATCATGCGGCGTTGCTCTGGGGGTCCCTGCAGCACTTACCTTGTCCTTCGCTCCCGCGATGTGTCCCCTGCAGCGTCCCCGGTCATCTCCTCCAGCCGATGCTGGCATCCGGCTTCTGTGTTCCGGTCCCTGTGACGTCGGGACGTACAGGTGCCAGAACCGGCGGGAAATTTGACATTTTTAAAAAATGTCATTTTTGCTGTCATTGCTGTTTCAATGCATTTCACATATATTTTGTCCCTACTGCTTTGTCCTGTGCCCTGCCTGCATTTTGAATGTTCTTTCTGCCTGGAAACTTAGAAAAGTCCATGGCGTCCAAAAAGCGTCCCTTTACGTCAAAAGCGGTTTTAGAACAGCTAGAGAACAGCGATAGTAAATCAGAACCACTTGCAGAATTGAGTGAAAATGATTCGTGGGGAAATTCGTCATCAGACACTGAAAAAGATTTTGCGACTTTGCTCAGCGATGTGCGAATTTGCCTCTGTATTTCAAATTTCAGTGTTTTTTTGGTTTGAGTATATTAATGAATTGAATTTATTATTATTATATTATTATTTTTTTATGATTATTTATTAAATTATAATTTATGATTTCGTGTTTCAAATTTTATCATATCCGGGAATGTTTACTAGACTCTTGTTCGTACAGATTTCAGTGAGTTATTCCTAAAAATTACAGCCTACAATAAAAAACTACATATTTCCATGCAAAAAAATGGTACCGCTTTCAGCACAAAAAATCGGAAAGAATCATACCGCCAAGGAGGTTAAAATGTAAGAAGACAATTGGGTTGATTTACTGAAACTGTTCGTTGCCTGTTTCTGCTAAGAACTAACTAACACTGACTGGTGGAACATAGAAGAAACAGAGAGGGGCTCATGAGGACTGAACTAACTAGCACTAAACAAGAAGAGAGTTATACCAAACCAGGAGTAAGCAAGTTACAGTGGCTCATAACCACCACTATATGTCAGTATTCATGAGAACAATAGTAACCTCATACTGTTCAATGCAAAAACAGAAATATACATACAGGTAGGACAGGACACCTGCCTATAACTGCTTTTCAAAGAATACTTTATTTAGAAGAAACCCCTGTGCTCACTCACTGAACAAATACCTGCGGACACTGTGTAGAAGTGACACATGCAACTCTGAAGACAAAGGAGGTTGGATTTTTGCCTGGCCATTATTTCCACCTGTAGTGGCTCAACGGACTGATGCTTGGGCAGAGCTGGCCAATCAGTGCGTCAGACTAAAATAATCTGCTCAGCTGAGATCATGTGACTAAATGCCTAGGCAAAGGGTCATGAGAATAATGCACAGTGAGAGCTTCAGACAGAAATGTATGCAGGTCATAACCCTTAAAAGTGTTTTCTTTAATTGTGTAACAGGGCTCTGCCTTGTTTACATTATTTGCTAACCACCCCCCCCTGAAAAAAGATCCACAGTGGTTTATTTGTCAGACAGTGAGGAGTTGCTATGTTACCTCCACACTACCTACTTTAACCCCAAAAATGCTGCTGCCTCATTCACTTGAATGGGTCGCATTCATAGGCTGTACCGCCTGCTGAATTCAATGTACCATTTAAAGTGGAACTTCACTCTCAATCAACATTACTATTTTTTATCCTTATGCTGCTAGCAATAGTAAATAGAAAGGAAAGTATATAATATTTACTTGTTTTAAACATTTTTTTTTACATTTCTTCAGTCACTTCCTTTTTTTTCCTGCCTAGGCAAATGATGTCATACATCCCAGGAGTCTTCAGGAGGGGAGGGGAGGGTTCTCAGCTCAGCCAATGCCTGAGTTAAGGGTAGATGGATTCCAGGAAGTAAATGCTACATGAATAATCTTCCCTTACTCAAGATAGCCACTGCCAGAAATGCTAGGGGGTGTTTTTCAAAATTATTTCTTAGCAAAATAAAGCATGGAGACATGGAGGGATGGGTGAGTTTGCTTTGAATATTAACAATGAATTAAATAGCATTTTTGAGATGTGGTGCTCAGATGCTGTGCAGTTCTATTTTAAAGTGTTACTAAACCCACAACAGTAAAATCAGTCTGTATATGCAGTAAAGCATGCTTGTTATACTCATTGTGGAACCTAAGGGGTTAATCCTCTGCATTGTGTAAAAAGGCTATTTGATCCTTTCTTCTCTGTCCCTCTTCTTGTTGAAATGATCACCTGATACAGATTGAATCCATAGACACATACACACAGCTCAGTTTGGTGTGTATTCCTAGAGAGGGGATTTTTTTTTTCTTTGGAGAGTGCATGTGATCAGCACAGCGCCAATCAGCACTGTCCAGACAGAGGGTTAGGGGTTTCACATCCTCTAGAGCAGCAAGAAAACTCCTCCTACAAGCTTTAACCAGTGCTCTGCTGAAGTCACAAGACTGCTCTAACTGCTGATAGGAAAAGGTATTTAGCAGTTTATATTTACCAAAATAATTGCATTTCCATGTCCTTTGTACTGCGGAAGACCAGATATGGTGAATGCAGGGTCCTGGGTTTAGTAACACTTTAACCTTTCCAACAGCATGGCTACAGCCACAAGCTGCATTGCTTTGTTTAGATGGGCAGTCAATGGGAGGCAAAACCACAGCTCAGCTGCCTGCTTTTACTGCCCCCCTGGCTACCATGTGAATGAGCCCTTATCTAATGTAGCAGGATGGGTAAAAAGAGTTATTGTGGCCATTGATTCGCTTTTAAAATAAAAAAGGAATCCCTATATTGTCTCAGCCAACTCTGCGACACTATGATCCCGCGTCATATGTGTCAGATCTGTTTTAATAAAATATATAACACATTCCATTTTATAACACAGGACTTCCCATCTAAACTGCGTAGTGAAATGTTGGCACCGTACAGGGGTAGGAATAGTGTCGGTTACTACAAGAAGTTTATCGTTGTTAAAGTGTAAAAGTTCAGACCACCTTTTACAAATCTGCGCGTGAAGTACAAAGTTTAATTGAGTTTGCTCACTGCAGTTTGCTAAATCAAGATTCAACATAAACTTACAGAGAGATGAAGTCATTTCTGTAAAAGTTTGAAATTATTCCCATCTGTGTCATTAGACACACCATTTGTATGTTTAGCAGGGCCTAGGGAAGACTAATTACTTCAGTTGTAACTACAGCTAAGTAATGTTTTCTGTATAGGAAATGAAAAAGGTAAATATAAAGTAAATCTACCCAGAGGGAGAGAAGAAAAGCAATATAAATGCCAATTAATTATGAGCCGCGACATGGATGTCATCAATCTGCAGCTTCAAAATATATGTATTCTTTAAACAGTTTGGATACAGAAGAAGACTGGAGTTGTTAAGCTATGGCTATGGAATAACTGGGGCTTCCAAGCAGTTTAAAGCAGAACTCCAGCCAAAACTTTAGATTTCTTTTGGACAGAGTAGGGAAGGTGGAAGCCTGTATCTGTTTTTATTTTTTTTTGGCTGAATGTAAGAATAAGCGAGGAAGGGTGGTAGGCACCCAAGACGGAAGGCACAACATACAAGGGTCTGAGGTTTCAAGGAAGTATATTATCAAGAACTTTCCAACTATACTGTACCAGAGTTTATGCAGAGGGTTCGTCTGGCAGAAAACACTCACAAATGAATATGTAGAACATGCGGAGAGCGATGCTTGGAGACCGACAGCACCTAGCACAGGAGGCAGCTGGTAGGCAGTTTGCAACAAGGCACCAGTAGTAGGTTG